TTTTGATGGAATACAGTTTTTATACAAACTCTAATGATAGCCTCGAAGACCATTTACAAACGGAAAAAACGACTATATGCAATATATGAATTCTATTTCGTTTGGGGTGATAGAAGGACTGGTAGATGAATTCTGTCACAACGATACGAGAGGACATGACGTTTCCATTGAATTTCACATAGCCTTTATTTCCAGAAGATATTATTATTCCGGCTGGAATGGACTGCAGTTTCGACCTCGCTTACGTCTCAGTCCTGTATCACCTTAACGAAATTGCATAAACTACTGATATTTTAGAAAGCCTACTTATAAACGAAAAATAAGTAATGTAATCGAATCTCATAGCCTCATCGACAATCCCATCACGGGTAGCCCTTTGATTCAAAGGCCCTCGTGCCAATTTGGCGTAGTGGTTAACGTGTAGAGATTATACGCCATCCTGTCATATTTCGAGTCCCGCTGGGGGTGTTGCTAAGACCGAGGCGAGGCCGAAACTGTCGGGATAAGAATACCTTTGGAGAAGGCAAAAGTATATGGAGCCCAATGTAAGCGTAAGGTCTACTCATATGATTGTTGTAAAATTCACCCCAAATGAAACAGGATGAATAAATCTGGTAATCTCGAAAGCCTACTTATAAACTAAAAAAAACTACTGTGTGAAAAATGGCTGTTGTCGAAACTTGGCGAAAGGTCAAGAAATAAAAAGAGGTAGGAATAAGGCAGTTGTAAGTGGGAGTTGAGATCGATGAGACGTATCAGTAGATGGTGAATAAAAATTGTTGGTATTATAGCATCAGCAGAGAAATATAGGCAATTGGGAGAGTTCAGGGCACAGATGAGCGAGGACACAGTTTTGAGTCGTGCTGATAACAACCTTCACGCAGGGCTGTCATTCGCATTGTCCCTTGCTCCCGTCTACAAAACACACACACACACACACACACACGGACCGTTTTGTCACCACAACCTCGGCCAACTAGACCTCAGCATACAACCGGCTGTCCGTGTAGACTCGACACGCAATACTCGACACAAGGATAGGCCGGCGAGGTGGCGTGTGCAACTATTTTGTGAGACGGGCATCATTGGTTGCCCTAGTCGATGATGGAAAAGAAACGCATACACCTAAAAGCCGGAGTAAACATAACAACATAGAGACGTCATGCAGAAAGGAATACACAATTGGACACAGGCCTATATTACAATCACTCATCATGCATCGACACACACACACACGCACACACGCACACATTCAAAAATCCACACGGCACGATCACACACACGCTATGTGGGGAACGGGAGCAAACGATGCACCAGAGCTGAGCTGAGCACTCGTGCGCGAACGTGTCTGTGTTTGTGTGCTTGCATCATGAGTACGAGGAGACTCGCGAAAGTGAGCAGGCACGGCCCAGTGTCAAAATCAATGGCGGTGGCAAGACGACACTAAGGGAGCAGGGCGAGGATGAAAAAGAGAGTAGGTGGTGGCGGTGAAGGAGACGATTGAGGTGGAGGAGGGGAGGGAGAGAGGGAGGGGGAGGAGGATGAGGAGGAGGCGGCGGTGGCGGCGGCGCCTCCCAGCCAATCAGAGAAGCGCAACACCCATCGAGGCAATCGATAAAGGAATGGCGTTGCCCAAAGGCGTTGTAGTCAGAAACACAGAGGTCTGATTGGTCGAGATAGCGTCGAGCGTGATGGAGACAAAAGACGAAAGAGGCAACGGCCAGGAGATGCGCGGCGTGAACGCCCAATCTGGCGGACCTGAAGGCAAGACGCACTCAATAGAGCAGGAGCACAGCTATATCTCATAGCTGATGCACATGTATGTGTTTGTGCATGATGCAGGGCAAAAGGAAAACTAGGAAGAAGAGATAAAAGCAAGAGGGAGCAAGCCAGCTGTTTGAGAGAGAGCGAGCAAACGATCGAAATAACAAGAACGAGCCGGCTAGGTAGC